TGTTAATCTACAAACAATGAAATGTCAGCTCCGTAAAGCAACACAATCGAGCCTTCCAAAGAAATGAAATAAAAGAAAAGTGATTGGTAGTTCATAGTTAATCCAAAACAGGGTGATAGAGGATCTTAAACCATGAAACAAATCTCGATTACTTTTTCGAAGGGACGTATCAGCTTTTGTAAACAATGCATTTGATCGTCAATTTGGCGTAATTGGTAGCTTGCACACCCATATTAACAACACTATCAGGTAGGGAAAAATTTCCCCTGTATGATAGTGGTGTTAGCATGCGTAAGCGAGCTGCCAGTTACGCCGAATCGACGATCAAATGCATTGTTTACAAAAGCTGATACGTCCCTTTGAAAAAGTCATCGAGAAATGTTCTGCAGTATTTCCTTATTTATTTCTTATAACGGAGTTGGTTAGGTTTTAATGTTTGTGACCGCCCTACATTATTATTTATCTTTATTAGGGAGGCTTTCAGCCTTGGGCTGGTTCGCCTCCATCACCGCCCTACATTTGAACCGTCCCTGAACTACATTTTTTCGCATAACTTTGGCATCAGATTGAAAAGCATAAGCAATGTATGCATAGTCATTAGACTGAGCTCAAACGGTTCCAAATCGGGTCCTGATAAGTCTCCCAAAATTTGAACTCACTCGATAATAAACTGACTTGGCACAAACCATTTGAAGTTTATATGGAAATTACTATAGGAAAACCAAATATTTTGTTCATATCCATCTAACAATTTACCAATGATAACTGAGCTCGTAAATTTTCTCAGCTACAACTTTGTCCTTAACCACTTTTCAATATAATGTAAGCATCAAAAGTTATCAATAATTCAAGCCACTAATGTCTTACGATTATGCTCAATCAACTGTTCAGCAGGCAACATTGGTGTTTCTGGCGCTTGGAATAGAGCACAAAAATCATGGCTACTATGTCACACTGCAAGATACAGTGTTGCTCACAAAACAGCTGCTTAATCATGTCATAAGATTATCAATCTCTTAAACAATTAATAACTATTTTATTTGACGTTTGGCTCAACAACTATATTCTGCTAAGTTGAAGCTGAGAAAATTTTCCATAAGTATAGCTTTTGAATTTTTTAACAGTGCAATATGGAAAAAGGTAAGACGACAATGAACAAAAAGTTTTGATTTCCCATAGTAATTTCCATATAAACTTCAAATGGTTTGTGCCAAGTCAGTTTCTTTGCAAATGAGTTCAACTTTTGGGAGGCTAATCAGGACCCGATTTGGAACCGTATGAGCACTGTGGAGCGAAAATGTCAAAATTTGCATCAGTCTAATAGTCATGTAGTCCAGGTATTAGGCTACACAAAATGCTAAGTAACTTATGTTGCTACTTGTAACTCCACCAAGTTATAAACGCATGAACATTAGCAGTTTTTGTCGATTCCTGCGAAAATCTTTTCCCCTATGGAAATCGAGAAAAAACTGCCCATATAAACAGAAATTTGAGACCAATGGGCCCAGGTCAATTTTTCACATTGGGCCTATTCATCATCATCTCTGGGGGTGCTCGGGGTTTAAGAATGTGTAGGGAATTCCCTGATCGAACATTTTCAATAACACCGTATTATAGATCTAAATAAGTATACAGGAAGGATTTAACAGAAAAATTCAAAAGTAATGAATATAGCAAATCGCAGTTTGATAAATATGCAAATTCGATATAAATGCAATGTTACTTAAACCGTTCTTCTCTTAGATTTTAAATGCTGTGTAGAATTTTCAAATGCCCCTAATTTTAACACAATTGATGTGGTCACTTTAATTTCGAAATCCCGAAAACCTATCTTGAACCAGAAATCATCATTCATCATGATTATAATTATCGACATGGAAAATGTCATCAAGATATGCTTATAACATGTTATATGTAACTGCTCAGTCTGGGCAGTGTTGAATCCCAGTTTGATGTTGTTTAAAAAGTTAAATTTCAACCACGTTCAACCTTATACCACAAACGAAGTGACAGACGACTAACTGGCGAAGAAATCAATTAAAATAATGTGGTTTGCTGCAATAGAATTTTCTTAGAAGTTTGCGCCATCAGCCACAAGGTGGGCTAGTTTTTTTGTTTTGATTTGAACAAAGTTGTGTTTGTGTGCAATGCTCTTTGGCAGTGTGCAAAGAGTGTATTCAGTATTCAGTTTTGAGTAGAGTGAAAGAGATAGAACCAAAACATTCTAGTACATTTGGTGAAAATGCTAGTACAATCTAGTAGTAGTGTTGCCATGTGGTACACTTAAAAACAATAACAGGTTCATCCAGCCCTGTGGAAGGCGCGTAGGCAACATGTTATACCGTGACAGTAGGCCCAGCACAGCAAAATAAATTATTTGAGCCCGGGACATGCTGTCTACTGTCAAACGCTGCTGTTGGTATAGGCCTTGTCACTGGCCTGGGTTCTTCACCAAAGTTTTTGAGCCGCTCCGTTTGTCACTTCGTTTGTGCTTATACGTGCTTATACCTTGTTTATGCTATAGTCAGACTACAGAGTTATATCTATAACTAACGATTTTAAATTGGTTCACTACTTGACTAGCCTATTGATCCCCAGCAAACGATTAACGTACCTCACTCTAGTCGAGATTCTAGTACTGAATTATGTTTGTTTTGATTCGCTATGAAAGTTTGACAGATAAAATGAGGTGTTCGTGGATTTTCCCTAAGAGGAAGAGGAGACAATAAGGTGACAAACGTATACAAACGCTAGAACTTTTACAACAGGGAATCTATTTTCCTGTATTTTGACAGTCGACTGCGTCGCCTATAATGACATAGTTTTTCACGCGAGAGAAGAAGAACACGTCACAGACAAAAAGAAGCCAGTTGTCTCCTCTTTCTTTCAGGACTTTTAATATGTTTCGAGGGATGCATCGATTAGCTAGGAACCGAAGAGAGTATCAGAGCTGAGCCAAAAAGTTTAGCATGTTTCTTCGGGACCTTCTGGCCTATGGTTATATCATGTTATAAGTCTAGTCTTGTTGACATATTTATTGTTGATAATAATTATAACAATCTCGTAACATGTTATAACCATAGAGGTAACTCTAAGACCAGAAGGTCCTGAAGAAACGTGCTCAACTTTTTGGCTCAGCTCTGGAACTATCTTCGGTCCCAAGCTAATCGATGCACCCTTCGAAACATAGGAAAATCCACGAACCCCTCATTTTATCTGTAAATTTTTCATAGAGAATCAAAACAAACATAGTGTATTACTAGAATTTTGACTAGAATGGAGTACGCTTATAGATGTACTTGGGAAATAGGCTAGTCAAGTAGTGAGTCAATTTAAAATCTTTAGTTTCCACCGGTTGCTATCAATCTGAACATAGCATAATGCCTTGTTCAAACGCTGGCAAGACTGGGGAGTTATAACATGTTATAACTCTGTAGTCTGAACGTAGTATCAGACAGCAATCTTATAATATGTTATGATAATTATAGACAAGAAAAATGTCATCAATATACTTATAAGATCTTATAAATGCTCAGTCTGATCAGTGTTTTAACTAAACATGTTTACCCTGCGCACGGTTCATTCACCTGCATTAGTATTACATATCGCACACTACTACGTTCGCAAAATAAACGGGTCGGAGCTTTGACTTCGACATTACAGTCGCGAGTCGATCGTAAGAGTGTGCAGATCGCCGTTTGTGGTTCGCTTCGCGTGTTTATTCTACCTACCTACTGTAAATCGGCACATGTGAGTTTCTTTATCAGCAGTGTGAACTATGAACCAGGCAGAGGCAATTTTCACAAGTGGCGTTTGATAGAATGCAGTGCATATTTTAATAGTGCATTACCTGTTGATTGAATGAAATCCCAAAAAATCGTATGGAGCAGTGTGTTCTGCGCCTCATAGTTTTGATTTTGTGGGTTGGGTGAAAGCATTTTTTTTCTTTGCGATGCTTATGCTATGTGATAAATTTAGCAGTTTAATATTGTGTAATGAATGGAAAAACACTACCATCTATTTGTTTAGTAAGCATTTTTCCTGAATGTTTGTACTTATCGTTTTTGGCACTTTTGATGCATTTATTTGACTGGTTTTGACATAATCCATTAATCAGTTATACATACACAGTTTAAAATATTTTGCAATTTACTTCGCATACGCTTGTAATATAGGTACTTGCTAGTATCTTCTGATTACGTTTCGCCTTTCCTTATCGTCCCTATCGACACGGAAAAAATAAAGCACTACATAAATTATTTCACTGATCCTAGCTTTTTGGTAACCATATATCAACCATACATAAGGTAGCAGACCGAATTGTTAATCCCATCAATAGTAGACCTTACGTTATACTATGTTCAGACTATGGAGTTATAACATTTTCCTTGTCGATAATTATTGTATGTTATAACTCCGTAGTGCGTTCATAGCAATAGGATGCAAGGCAACGAGGAACATTTTTCAAAAAGTTCAAAAGTCGTTTTTTCGTTAGTAGTGAAATTTCAAACCTTGGAAACATTGAGTACATTTTCTGGGCTTACATTTGACTGCAAAAAAAAAAACAGATTTTTTATTTTTTGAGAAATATAATTGCGCATCCTTGCACCTTAAGCAGGTATTCAAAGCATTATTTTCAGTTGTTTTTTGTTTGACGTCATTATGGCCTAGAAACAGTAGATTATGAACGAAAAATGCTGACATTAGTTTCAACCTAAGAATGTGATTTACTGTCTTATGATTGTTTGCCTTATCGCTTGATCTACCTTATTTTCAAGAAGTCCATTGTTAATCCAATTACAGAAACTCTTTTGTTATCGCTTCTGGATATAATGAGTGCCCATGTCTGCCAAATGGAAAATTTCCAATCTTTCGATAAGAGCACACCCCAAATTCAAAATGACAAGTCAAAGTCTACGATTATAGCATGGATTTTCTTTTAATTATTCAAGTTCATTAGCCTGATTGACACTGATCTATGTTTTCTTTTCTAATTTCAGACGTACTATCGCTAGCGTTACTACAACACCTCAACCTGAATTATTTACGTGTTGCCGTATCAGTGAATGGCGATAAAGTGATTGTAGTGGATGCTTGAGGAGGATAATGTTTCACCTTTGATTTGCTTTCTTTCATGCGGTTTGTAAAACCATCGAATCAGTTCAGAAGCGATTTGTTGTCAGTCGGGTTTTCAAGTTCTCGCGTTGCGCATACGGTACTCTCGAAGTACATCAACCCTTCAAGCAATTATCTGGAAGGCAGTGTTTAATTGAGAGAAAGTTGTTTTTCGTGTTCTCGCATGATACATTGTTAAGGATAAGCTTCGGTAAAAGCCTTGGCTAAAAGTTAATTTAAGAAGTTAGTCGAAATAGTGTAAAACCAAAAATGGCAGGCCTATGGTCAATGGTCAAACAGTCCACGCTGGTGCATCTCTGCTTTGCGATATCGTATTTCACATCCGGATTAGTAATCAACACTGCACAATGCGTGCTCTATTTTGGACTCAAGCCCTTCAACAAGCGACTGTATAGGAAGATTGGATACTATCTATGTTATTCCTTCTACTCGCGTAAGTATTCATTTTGGTTATTATGTATTTTGTATTAAGCTGATGCAAATTTTATTTTTATTTTATGTCACTAGATATATTATGTTTTTTTTTCATCCATTATTTATTGTTTGACCTTCCAACACCTCCCCCCTCCCCCTCTCCCTCGACCTATTTGAATGATTATAGATATAAAATTAAAATAGTATTTGCATCATCACAATTCTTCACTAGCAATGAAAAATATACCTTTTAATTGTCGAAATGACGCATTGTTCTACGAAAAATTGAGATTCTTACCGATAGGCCCAATCTAGGCCAACATTAGAGCTATTTCACATATGTTATTAGTATTGTCTCATTTTTTTCCTCTGTTCGTGACATCTATTGCGACCAGTAGTTTGATCTATTGTAGTATATCCCATGTACTTAGTTTAGTGCATGTAGTATTACTCCATCAATATTGAGAAATGATGAAGTATTCGATTTTAATAAAGTTGAACAGTTCCACACAGATTCGCAAATCGTTTCGGATCGATGTTTTTAGAATAAATACTTGTTATTTTACACAGTTGTTTGTTATTGTCCAACATGCCATTTTACATAGTATGGTTCCCTAGTTTTGTACACGACTAACACTTGAAAAGGGATTATGCAAAAATGATACGCATCAATAGAAAAACATATATCTCGCGAACGATTTGTTTTATCGATATGGTGTCTTCAAAGAAGTTGCGGACAAGTATTGTGCATTTTAAGAAAAAATGTAAACTGTAAAAAATTATTTTATTTTTTATAAAAAAAAATCAAAATTACAGGGTGGCAAGTGAACCAGGAAAACCGGGAAAAAGTCGGGAATTTATTTTCACCAGGAAAAACCGGGAAAAAACCAGGATTTCTTAAGTTCACCAGGAAAATAATCCTGTTTGTATAATTTAAATAGGTTTTAAATTTTATGTTTGTCAAAGTTTCTTTTTATAATCAGGTCAAAACTAACCATTTTGTTCAAGCGAAATCTTTCACATAACTGAACATTGCTGAACAAAATTTACCCTGAGAATTTAGTAAATATGTTTTGTATTTATTTTTAATTTAATTTTTTTCTCAATCAATTGCATGTATGATTTGTGCTTAATGGATAGCAGACTTAAGCAGTGCCGATGCGTAACTACTTCGAAGTACCTGTTCAACATGTTAAATAAAAAAGTTCTATTTCTAAAAAACTTCAGATAAAGCCTTCGAACTTTATGCAAGTTCTACAAAATTCGTGAAAGTCTTACAAGTTTCAGGAAAATCCTGTGAACTACTGTGATGACCTACGACGGTCAGGAAATCTCTCCGAACCTTCAGAGAAGTTCTACAAATTTCAGAGAAGTCTTACGAACTTCAGGGAAGTCCTTTAATCTTTGGGGAATAACTACGAATTTTACAGAATTTTTTACAGATTTAATGTAACTTCTACGACATTTAGGCATTGCTTAAAACTAAAGGATAATCCAATGACACATATGAATTTTTTCCGAGCTTCAGAGAAGTCTTCAATACTCTTGGGAAGTCCTCTGAACTTAACATAGTTCTCCAAGCTCAAAAAAGTTCCTAGAACTTCCGAGAAGTCGATTGAACTACGAAATTCATGGGAGCTCTCCAAACTTCATGGAAATTCCCTGGAGAAATTAGGGAAAGACCCACAAACTTTTGGAAAACCCTTCGATATTTAAAGCCTTATGAACTTCAGAGAAGCTCTTCTAAATTTAGGGTCCTCATATATTCAGTTAAGTCCGTCAAACTTCAGGAAAGTCCTTAGATTTTCGAGAAAGTTCTTCGAACTTGAAGGAAGTCTTACGAACTTCTGAGAATTTCTACCAACTTCGTGGTACTTTACGATACTTAAGAAATTCCCATGAATTTAAAAAAAAAAACTCCGAACTTCAGGGAAGTCCTAAGATCTTAAAAAAAGTCCTTCGAACTTCGGGGAAGTCCCATGAAATTCAGGCAATATAAACTTCAATGAACCCTTCAGGAAAGACCTTAACGCTTCAGGGAAGTTCTACGAACTTTAGCAGTCAGTCTTTTTAATAATAAGAGTTATTAAACCACCGTTGTTTATGAAATCTTTTTAAAATCATGTTGAAATCAAAATTCCGCGTTGACAGTTTGCGGAAAATTTAAACAAACTGGAAATCCGTAAAATTGTTAGAAGCAAAGGTTTGTTTAAAGAATCCTCATTCATATCACACTTCGCAATTTCACCTTGAGATAAACTAGCCTAAAAACTAAAACTGACTAAAAATCTCAATAATAAAGTTAAAGTTTCAAAAACAGAAATCTCAAGATTTAAGGGCTTATAGATTTCTAAATTTCAGACATTAGGGGCTCCGCGCAAGTCCGTCGTATCTCAGCTTTTCTTCGTCATACACCCCTAAAATCGCTCATCTTACGGGTTATCGCAAATGTTTCAATGTCAATCGTAATTAATCTTGTAAGCAAAGATATTTTTGCAAAAACATGAGCAAAGTATTTTTGCTAATATAGTATTAGCACATAGAACGGAAATAGGCGCCATGATACGACGAAGTAGTGCGGCTCCCTACTAGCTTCTTTACAGCAAACAATCAGATAAAGATCTCACGGGCATTCACAAGAACCTTAATACTTATTTTGGTTTGTGAAATTCCGCATTGCGCGAAGAATGATGGTATAAGGATTCACCTTATTTTTTTTTACTAAAAATTGTTTTTTAAATACATGTTTTTTAAAACCAGGAAATTTTTAAATCATTGGCCAGGAAAACCAGGAAAAAAAGCAGGAATTTCAAAATGAAAAATCACTTGCCACCCTGAAATTATGAAACAGAATTAAAATTACTCAAATTGCATTTTTTTTTAAATTATTTTTATATATTTATATTATAGTTTAGATAAAATGTTACCTACTGCCAACGTGTATTTTCTGGGCAATTCATAAAAAAAAAGTTATGAATTATTGAAAAAAGTAGTATTTTCCAAAATACTACCAACCGTTATCGAATATCTTTCAGATAGTGTTAATATTAAAACACATTAAATTTAGAACAAAAAAGCTCATAATGCTTCAATTGCCGAAAGTTGCTATTTTCGAGATACTCGTAGATTAAAATTCACTTATCGCATAATTAGAGCAATTTTCGCCCTTTTGAGATGTTATTCATGAGTGTTCAATATTGAAAATATTTTTAACGAAAAGCCCAATTCTTGTCTTCATCGCGAGGAATTGATTATAAATGAAAGGACCCGCTATTTAGGCGGGTGAGTGAGGGCACCCTCTAAAGGCGTGTCGCCTGTTGCAACATTTAGTTTTAGTTAGCATATCCTCAAAACCAACTTTTGCCCACACTACACTTATCATATTGACGTAGGATTACGTCTTTCGGGAAGGGTGCCAATTCAGGAAATGCAAAGAAAATTGGTCAGACTTTAAATACTAATAACTTGGCCAATAATCAATGGATTTTGATGTTTTGTGTGTCGATCCATTCTCCAGTGTTATAATTTTTTGTGTGGTATGTGACATATTATATTTGTTCAATATTTAAATAGTTAACAATGAAGACATATGGATATTCAAATTTCCCATATATTTTCTTCGACCGCAAGGTGCTTACCCCTAACACAGCCAGCAGAAAGTTGATGCATAACGACACAAGCCGAAGCCGCACAATCATTCAACGTTGCACGTTGGACGGTGTGACTTCGGACTTGTTCGCTGCAGCGTGGACATCGTAGCATTCCTAGCAGCTCAATACATACACCTCACACCAATAAAAAACAACCAGACGTAAACGCAAATCGATCCAGGGAAATGGAAAAGCTGCACTTTGCGTTGTGAGATCCACTGCCGTGGTTTATATTTTCCAAACACGTTTCTAAAATTCCGTCGAACATCCAGCTCATCGGAGTAACTGTGATCCGTCGATATCAGAAGAAATTGAAAATTGCAATCAGTAGGAATTGTTCAATTTATCAGTCACCTATAAAAATTAGTGAAAACAAACGGCCTTTTTCAAGGCCAGCAATAAATCTTTACATAAGAGCGCTAGTTTATTTAAAAAAAAAACTGAACCGTCCTTAAAAGTGCAAAACTTGTGTAATAGTGCCCGATTAGTTTGTATCGTTTTGATGCGTTCTGCAAACAAGTAATAAGCTTCGTGCGCCAAAGATACCGATAACCGATTTTGACAGAATTTACACCTATCAGAACGTGCTCCGACCGGAATCCAATTTGTATTCGTGTGAGCGCACGTCCGGACTTGTGTGAATGCTAAGCACAGTTTTACCAACCGGTGGAAACTAACGTTTTTAAATTGGCTCACTACTTGACTAGCCCATTGGTCCCAAGCAAATCGATTAACGTACCCCATTCTAGCCGAAATTCTAATACTACACTGTTTGTTTTGATTCGCTATGAAAGTTTGACAGATAAAATGAGGGTTCATAGATTTTCCCATGTTTCGAGGGGTGCATCGATTAGCTTGGGACCAAAGATAGTACCAGAGCTGAGCCAAAAAGTTGATCACGTTTCTTTGGGACCTTCTACTCTTAGAGTTACCTCTATGGTTTTACAGCTCTCCATGTCTATGTCATCACACCCAACGGTTCTTCGGGGGAATTTTTTGGGGTATTTTTTGGGAACTGTTTTATCTCACATCATTCAAGTCGTCTTTTTGGAATATAATGGGGTGCAAATCAATATTTTTTTTCACGAGTTGTGTCAAGTTTTGAACGCTTATAACATAGTCATTTATTAATGAAGTACAATTTTAATTACATCATTTTATTCAGGTTGGATGTAAGATTTGTTGGTATAAAGATGCTAGTTGGTTATTAATGGTTAATTATTGAAAATTGATCATCGTTTGTGTTAACTTTTTTCGTATCGTTGCTTGTTGTGCCCGAGTCGACGGACCTTTGTCGCTTGTTCTATTGTTCATGTGTTCTACCTATAATCGCATATCAGTCCCATATGGATTTTCGTCAATTTCAAGATAATAACGCTATCCACTATCAATTGGCATCTACTTTCATATTACGTGATAAAACTATGGGCTTTGATCATAAAAATGTCAAAACAACATCAAGTCAGTTTGTCTCATTAAGCGATTACTTTGCATATCAGTCCCATCCTGAAATTCAATCGTCCAGAGGTCAAGTTACAGTTCTGCTTTTTTGATGGCCATATTTTTCGCTGATATAACAAAAAACCTATCTTCATTGCAACTGATTTCAACTTGAAAAAAAAAATCAATCAATTTACTATGACTTTTCAAACATTACATGGGAATTGCACTTCGTAACTTCAACTGCCATTTCCTCAATGCCGACTTTTTCCATATGGGACTGATATGGGATTATAGGCAGTGTTGGTCTGCACCAGTTGCCGGTTTAGGAAGAGAAGGCCACTGCTTATCATTAGCGGCGTTCGCAAGCTGGCTATTGCCGTTGATCTTCGTGTTTTTGTTGCCACTTCGGAGCACCGTTGTTTCGAGTGAGATTTTCGGTCACGGTTACGGCATGTTTTGACTTGGTTTTTGTATCACACCAAAGTCACGTCGTCGTCCACAGTGATGAATGATCAAGCTTCATCCTTACTACGCGAACTCCATTAATGAAACCTGGAAAGTAGCTTTTCCAAACTTCACTTCTGCCAGAAGTAGTCGTAATCGTAACACTGCCAATATTCGAATTAATAAAAATATTAAACTGTGATATAGAAAGTATTGGTTCAAGTAAGGCTTCGGAAATGTCTTCTGAGGCCCGGAACATATGTGGTCAACTTTATTTTAACAATACAATATAACTGTTGTTTTAAATATTTATGCAATGTGATGTGTCAAATGTGAGGAGATCAAGAATATGTCAGTATTTAGTCATCAAGTCCAGCGTATTGAATATGATCACCAATTATTATTGTATTGCCATTTCAGGGAAAAAAGTTCAACGCGACTGACAAAGCATGCTATGGTTGTCAAATAAGCTGACGCCAAGTGTAGATTTTTCTCTGAATTGGCAATATATGATTTTTATCAGAATCTGAAAAAGTACATAAATAAAATCCTAATATGAAGAGGATACAACTGGCTTCTTACTCTTTTATCTCTATCTCTAACTCTATCTTACGAACTTCGAATCGGTCAATCACGAGCTGGTTCGCGTTTGACAGAAAAGTGGTTCGTTATTATTATTATTATCTCTATTTAGGAGATTTTCAGCCGCAGGCTAGTTCATCTCCAGGAGCCCCAGAAGGGGGCTTCCAAAAGTGGTTCGTTTTCGCCCCCGTATTGCTTAGATAAAACCAAACAAAGGAGACATCGAGTTGTGAAAATATCGTCTTTTAGAGAGTAAAATCCAGGTAAAAATGAAGGGACCTCTGAAAACATATTGAGTTCTAAAATATCGATTTGTGGAAAGTTGACTTTACGAGAAAGCATTTTTTTTTCTTTGTTATTTCATTTTGACATCAAGAAATTATTGACTAGAAGATAGTATTCTAAAAAATGACGAATTGACAGAAATTGATTCTTAATAGATACCCAAGTAAACAACAAGCCCGTTAATTCGCCTTTTTGCAATATAAGGCTAATATGCGGCTAATATAAAGCTTAGCATGCCCCATGTTAGCCGTGTATCAGCCTTATATTGCAAAAAGGCGAATTAGCGGGCTTGTTGGTTACTTGGATAGTTCCCTATACCTGATGAATTCCACAATCTCAACATATTTCTATCGATTAATCGCACTTTTCTGTTATTTTAGAATTGGTCTTCTTGGCTGACTGGTGGTCTGGCTCAACACTCTACATATACATCAGTGAGGAAGATCTTAAATATTGTGGAAAAGAACACGTGCTGTTGCTGATGAATCATTGCTACGAAATTGATTGGCTAGTAGGATGGGTGTTCTGTGAAAAAGTTGGTGTATTAGGTAACTGCAAAGCGTACGCCAAAAAGGTCATTCAGTACATCCCAACTATAGGATGGGCGTGGAAATTTGCTGAGTTTGTTTTCCTGGAGCGATCGTTCGACAAAGATAAGGAAATCATCGGCCTTCAAATCAAGGAAATAATGGATTATCCCGATCCAGTGTGGCTTCTCCTAAATGCAGAGGGAACACGTTTCACCGAGAAGAAGCACGAAGCTTCCATTCAATTTGCTCGAGAGCGTGGAATGGCCGAATTGAAGCACCATTTGATTCCAAGGACCAAAGGTTTTACTGCAAGTTTACCGCAGCTGCGAGGCAAAAGCACAATCTTAGATATTCAGCTTGCAATTAGTAAAGATTCTCTTGTGAGTTTTACTGTGGTATCTACTACCTACTTACCTCCATCGTCTTTTAAACCACTATATTACAATATTTTTAGGTCAAGCCGACTATTTTCAACATACTGAACGGCAAACCAGTTGTAGCCCACATGCATATCCGTCGTATACCCTTAGACACCGTACCCGAAGATGAAGAACAAGCTGCTGAGTGGTTACAAGAGCTTTTCCGTCAAAAGGACATTATGCAAGAGAGCTTCCATAACCATGGCGATTTCTTCACTGGTTCCAACATCACACGAAAAGTTCCGATCAAAATGCAGCCCCGATTGCACACGCTTGTCAATATGGCAGCATGGAACGTGGTAACAGTGGTTCCAATGTCATACTATCTCGTGCAACTGCTGGTCAGCGGAGAAATTATGTACTTTTCGATTGGTACATCGGTTCTTGTTGCTTGTAAGTCGATATTCACGTTACCAATAAACCAATTTCTAATAAGAGTTTATTTATTTATTTATTTTTTCTTTGAAACAGTTTACGCGCTTATGGTAAAGGCTATCGGGATGTCGAAAATCAGTAAAGCATCATCTTATGGTTCGGAAAAAGTGAACGGTCACAGTGATCAAAACGGATCATCCACCGATGAAACTACCAAAACTAAATAGAACAAGTAGCTTTTTATACTTATGTATTTGTATGTGTAGTGTGTACGTCGTTGTATCCTTATTGGGCTTTTGGCCCCTCGAACCCGGCCTGTAGTTTAGCTAATCCTCTCCGAAATATTATATTTTCTCCAGTTTTTGGAGGTCACTATTTTTGCTCCAAGCAAAATACCATTCTGTGCGGGAACAAAGCCTTCCGAAACTACGAACGCACGATCACGCGTTAAGCCACCAACACCGTCATGCCAAATTTTTGCTGGACATTTTTATATTTAACTTTTTTGAACGGAGGTAGCAATGAATAGCACCGGACTGTTCGGAACGGTGATTCCTGGTGAAATCATTCTTTAAAAGAAGAGAGTACGGAAAAATTGAGTAATGATGTATTGTTGTTACTAGTTTATGCCCTTGATAGAAACATATTTCCCTATACAAGAATAAAAAAACGATTGCGCGGTATGTGAACTCAAGAAACAGGAAACAAGAGCAACTATGAGAGAATGATCTATTTATTACCAATTTTTCGGTGAGATATAGTTTATACTGTGCAGTGCGCGTGTGCATTGCAGTTATTGCGATAAAAGTTTGAATGCAGACAAGCAGAAGCAGGAACTCAGTGTAATCACTGGGCATTCTATCGAACCAGTGAAAAAAACTCAGTACAAATTTTACCACCTTCCAAGCGATTTCGTTACATTTTCATTTTGTCAAAATTAAGTCTACCATCAAATTTAACCAATGCACGATATTAATTCTGTCTTGATTCTGTGTTTGAAATTATCCACACAGCAAATAATTACTTTATGAATAAGAAAATAATTATTAATGATAAGTAAGAATGACTTTTTTTGCAAAGTGAAGAAGACTAAAAATGAAACCAAATTAAGCACAAAAAATCTAACTTAACCACGTCTGTTGCGCAAAGGTTTAATTAACCTCAGTTAACTACAAAACAGTCAGACATAAGTGCAAACGTTGAAGCCGAGCTTCCCTGTTAACAACTTAAATATTATTTTTGCTACCTTAGAAGAAACAGTTTTGAATTTTGCGAGTGTTTAGTTTATTTTTCTGTTAGGTTAGTGCTACCTTATTACATCAACTGAATTCAGCAGAATATACTAATAGCGTACAAATCAGACACTGAGAAATGCAATTATCTACGGTTTGAGAAATAAAGATTGTTTTTAATTGTTAGGATCGGTACATGGTGTGGTGTATGTGTTTAGAACAGAAAAGAAAACCAAACAATTGAAATCTTATGTCCTTATAAGTGTTGCAAAAACCTATGAGTTTTGCCTTGCAAAATTCAACTCATCGATGAGTTTTTCGGTACAAAAATTCATTGCTTTATATTTTGACTATTCATTGATCATAGTGTCATTTTTGCATTATTCGTTGGAAAACATTAATAGACGTTAGATCGGTTTTTATTATGGAATGAATTGCTGGCGTTGTGAGTGTGGGTGCGCGAAAATACATGATCATCTCAAGCATGATGATTGTTTTCCAAATTCACACGCGAATTGTCTACCGCCGAACTTATCCGGAAATTCTGCTGACTATCCATGCTTCTGTTCCGTTCGACGTTCTTATCACTGTAGGATTTGGTTTACCGAATAACATGGCCTGATTGTCTTAGGAAATCTATTGGTACAATACAAACAATATGGTCTAACAACTGGCACGGTAGTTAAAATACTATGCGTAGTTGTACATTTTCCACATACCAGCGCCAGCCCCATCCAAATGCAGGACAAAAAGGAATAGGTAGGAATATGTTGACGTGATACTCGCTATGTTGGAAGCCGAGAATACCTCTGCATGGAGACTCCATAAGCTACTATTGGAACACATTGCACTAACGTACCTCCAATATTGGTATTTTCTTTCGTATAGATATAGATATTACTATTTTTCCAACAATACGTTTTCAATTAATTGCTTTTTGAAGAAAAAAAAAATGTTTTTCGTAGGTACTCAAAAAACGTATATGCGTATATCCTTTCCGTATATGCGCAAACACTACTATGTTTCGAGGGGTGCATAGATTAACTTGGGAGCGAATATAGTACCAGAGCTGAGCCAAAAAGTTGAGCACGTTTCTTCGGGACCTTCTAGTCTTAGAGTTACCGTAACTCTAAACTAGAAGGTCCCGAAGAAACGTGCTCAACTTTTTGGCTCAGCTCTGGTACTCTCTTCGGTTCCTAGCTAATTGATGCACCCCTCAAAACATAGGAAAATCCACGAAACCCTCATTTTATTTGTCATACTTTCATAGCGAATCAAAACAAACATAGTGTAGTCACAGACAAACAGACGTAACTCTTGAAAAAGTTTTTCTTGAAATCATAGTATCTCAAAATATAGGACCTCAGTAACGACATCTCTCGGGCTTCTCGCGGAAAACAAGCTTGCTCGCTAACTCGCAAACAATATTGCATAAAAGTTATATAGAATGTATAGAAACGTCAAAGTGATCCGATGCCAGCGCTGCGGCGAGTAGTTCGCGGAACTGATAATATTCAAATCAACCGTTAAATGCGTGAACGAAGATATACAATGAAGTGTTACGTCTGTTTGTCTGTGGTGTAGTACTAGAATTTCTACTAGAATGGGGTACGTTAATCGATGTACTTGGGACCGATAGGCTAGTCCAGTGTGAGGCAATTTAAAATCGTTTGTTTCCACCGGTTGGTATTACCGTTTGTTTTCCATTTTCACTCTGCAACTTCGTCCACTTAAGAGATAGAAAATTGTTGTCTGGGACAAAATTTCATGACTTCATCTTCAATGTTTCCATAGATGTTCATTTATTTTAACAAGCAGGGTTACTTTCACTAATGATAATTATATTGTGTACTTGTCAGATACAAGAATAGGTTGGAAAGTATGTATTTGACACATAAAACCTGTCAATTAGGCTTCCAGTGCGTCACAAGCAGCGAATTTATGACTCGTGAGCGTTCACTCAGAAAGAGCGCTCACGAATCGTAAAATCGCTGATTGTGACGCAATGAAAGCAATAATGACAGGTTTTATGTGCCAAACACATAGTTTACAACCTTTTCTTGTAAGTTACAAGTACTAATTATCATTATAAAACCTAAAGTTTTCATAATTCCGAAACACATTTTTATATAGCAAGCAGTGTTGGAAAAATATCAAAAAATCAAATCTCACCAATGCCCAAGATCACGCTTGATTTTCGTAGATAAAAATCAACAAGCAAACATCTGCGGTTGATTTTGCAAGCTGTGATATTGCAGCTCGGAATATCAAGCTAACAAAACTCACCAAACTGTGGTGAGATTGAGTTTAATGATTTTTGCTTTACACCCGAATGCAATCGAATCTTCCATAAAGCTGGGTTCAGACAGGTCAAGTCAATTGATCAAGTCAGTTGAATTCAACTGACTTGAACGCGAATTGAACGTGTAAACCATGCCATTCAATTGACTTGATCAACTCACTTGAATTGAAAAAAGTTGAACCAGGCTCAACTTTTCAAGCCAATTGAATTCAACTGAGTTGATCATTTGACTTGCCTAGTCTAAACCCAGCTTAACAGCTAGCAGCAGTCATTTCGTGTCTGCCTTCGGTGAAGATTAAAAAGAGTTAGCAAACTATACTTTCTCTTTCTAAGAAAACGATGTAGAACGGAATCATTTTTGTGTCGAGTCAGCTCTCAGCTTGATTTTTGCGCGTTGTGAATAGTCTCGCAATATCAAAGGAGCTTGTAAAATCAATATCAAGCATGATATTTTGTTCCAATATCACGCGTGATATTGAGAGCGTATGAGAGCGGAAAAATATTATTTGATTGATGATTTGGCCAACACTGATAGTAAGTGAGTGGAACCAACCCTGTTAACAAGACATAAAAAAGTTATTTTTAACTTAATGTATACCTCCCTTAAGCAAAAATATTTACCACTCAAATAAAGTTCTAAAAAATTGAAGAAACATTCTACAAGACATCAAAATGCTACACTCAATTGTTTCGGCGCAAATGGCCATGTCCCACTTTTTTGATTTCGTCCTACTGTGCGTGCGATGGCGACAAATAGCGGTGATAGTATTCATCCTTCCTCACGTCCGTGACTACCAGGATAGAGTCGGACAAGGATGATTGTACACGTGAATACCCCGTACTGCGCTTCGATGAGATTGACAATTTTAATCTGAACTCCTTTGTGCCCCAGGGTGTACCCAAGGTTGCAAAGACTCATTTCAGCTAAAACAATGTTTTTCTAAATTATGAAATAATTAGATGCCATGATCAAATTTTGAATTGGTAGGATACAAGAAGAGGTTGCAAAGAATGTGTTTGACATATTAAACCTGTTTATTTCACTTCATGAGAGTCACAATCAGCGATTTTTCACAAACTCACTCACTCACTCACTCACTCACTCAGCGATCAGCAAATCGCTGATTGTGACTCATAGACAGCAACATTTACAGGTTTTATGTTTCCAACGCATACTTTGTAACCTCTTCTTGTAAGTTACAAGTAAAACATGCCATCATACCATCTTTTGGTTTTATTATTCCGAAAAACATTATTTTAGCTGAAATGAGTCTTTGCAACCTTGGGTGTACCACACATTTTCGTGATTGAGTCGGTCGAAAGCCTGTTATCGGTATCTGATTCAGGGTAACTTTGCACAATTCATAGTACCATCGTGGCACACATAAAGCTGTCTTCACACATGGGCGCTCCTGCCGTGCGCGAAGCTGGATTTGCGTTGGTATGAGAGAGACAAAAGCATTAGTTGTTACTCTCAGACCAACGCAAATCACGCTCATGTGTGCAGACACCCTAATAGACACGATACTAGCCCAACACCACGAAACGAAAATGATCATATCGCAGCTACTTGTATTTATTATCTATGACAATTAGATTTTCATTCAATTTATAACAAATTTACTTAGGTTTACTTCACTTCAATTCAAGGACATGCTAAAGCTAGGAGCAACTGCTCCAATATTTCGGATATTACAAACAAAACGCAATGCACATGTTTTCAGTAACGTATAATTAATATACTGTCCACCAAATACATATTCGTGATTAATGTAATCAGTATAGTTAATGATTCTTATAATCTTGTCCATTTGTCGTCTAACCTTCGATTAGATGCATTCTGCGTGCTTGTTTTCTTTTTAGATTTACATTTTCTTTTGTTGATTTGCCTACTGACAAGCTTCCTCCAGACTTGTATTTGTCGCTCCATAACGGACTGTTCACGGTATTCAAAATAATGCATTTATATACTGCGATCGACGAACAAAACTTAATCCAACCAATTGTAAATGTTGAATACTTTTCTGTTACTATAACACTTTGAGATCCAGGTTGCTGAACTGGTCCAGTATATTTCCTTTATACCACAAAACGTGGCTGATAGTAACTCCTATGTATGATCCTACTCCTAATATTGCCTTTCAATCTGAGAATCGTGTGCTACGCGGATTCTTATCTAACATGTTCTACTGTTTGTTTGGTAGTGTTACTGTCGGACAGTTTCTCATTGAGAAATAGTTAATTCAATCTATTTGCGTACTTCATGTTTTTTTTTTTCAAATTAAAAATGGCACGTACTCGTGTGGTTCACTTTTTTAAATAATTCAAACTATTTGAAAGCAAAATTTAATGTACTTTTTTTTTCTAATGCGAGTTTCAGCTAGATTTTGCTACATTTGGTTCTGTTAGCTGCTTCCGTTATATCGCTCTGCCTTTGTTTCTAACATTTGAATGTGCTCTCTTCTGCTTGATTCCGAATTTCCGACTGTCCCATCTTAACTAATTGAACTATGCTCTAGTGTTCCTTTCTAAATAAAGGTTATAAAAATAATGAAATATATATTTTACACTCACGGATACAGAATCATCCGCATGTCTTGATTATATTGATTACATGTTATCTTTTTTTTTCTAAACGTTTATTATTCAATCTATCTTTTTGTTTGTATTTATTAGAATTTTATGATTAACGATTGCTCGGCACACAACATCCATACGAAAAAACGGTTGCGAGTGCCAATCATCTGTTATGTCTAGCACAGTTTTACATAATGTAATTTAATTCCTGTTCCAGGAAGTCAGAAGCATTTTATAGAGACTTATTTTGTTAGTTCGGTTTCATTTAATGACGCCAATTGTTCCAGCAGAAACTGCATCCACACTAAGCATGTGA